GGAAAAACCCTAGCGGGTTTGGGTCAACCTGTTGGGCTTGGACGGGTCGGATCCGGAGCAACTAGGCCTAGTTCGGGTTGATTTCCTGGGGTAATGTTGGGCTTGGTGTTTAGGGTCTGAATTGAGTGTTGTAATTGTACAGTTGGGCTTTGGGTTGGTTGGTAATTAAGGCCTGCAAAATGTAAGATATGTATTAAATAATAATAATAATAATAAATTAATAAAACAAGAACTCGGATAAAAATGGGTGTCTACATTGATCTCTTAATATTTGAAAAAAATTTCTCTACGAGTTAGGTTTGGTGTTTTTGACGATACAAGGTTGTATAATCAAATTTGAAAACCACAATGTTTACCCTTATCTAACAATCAAATCCTCGCAAGCCATCAATTCAATCTAAATGTCTTAAGGATAATAATTAGCTAAAATTTTAAAAAATCAATTAAGTTCTTATATCATATCATGACAACAATCAATCCCATGTGTACCGTAAAAAGTATATAAATAGTCCCCAAATTTTTAGAGCATTTTCATTTTGGTCATTCAACTTTTGAAACTTACAATACAATCATCAAACTTTTAGTTCATTTTCAGTAAGGTTCCTGTCATTACCTACCGTTACCTCCCGTTAGCTGTTGATGAACTGACATATAACCCTGTCGACCCCTTCTTTTTCTTCTTCTTTGCTCACTTGTTTCTCCATCTCTCCTTCCATTAACTCCTTCACCATCTTCATTTCTTCTTCTTCTTCCATTAAAGCAACTTCTTTCACTCTTTTGCTCACTTATTTTTCCATCTCTCATTCCATTAATTCCTTCACCATCTTCATCAACACATCCCATTTCACAAAACCTAGCTTCATCCCATTTCTTCGCGATTCAACTCGTAACCCTACCTTGATTTCCTCCACCATAATTCTCATGTTCAATGGATGCTCAGCTTGCATCGGCCATGGAAAGACCGGTACCCCGTAGCATATGCTTTCCAATGCTGAATTCCACCCACAGTGATTCAAAAACCCTTCGACGCTTTGGTTACGAGTTTAAATGAAACTTTGATATCGAGCATTTTATTACCATATTTTTTAGACTCTAGTATATATATTATTTTCTTCTTTTATAGATCCATTTGCTAATAATTTAGTTTTTGATAGACGGATAATCCTGGAATAGAAACTGACAGAAGTTGACTTCTCTGAGGAGTACTTGGAGAAAAAAGAAATTGAATACATGCACCGTCAAAGGCATAATATGGGTGTTAGATAACTTTGAATTACTAAATATGGTGGGCGTTTCTCCATCTCCCCTTCCATTAACTCCTTCACCATCTTCATTTCTTCTTCTTTTTCTTCTTCTTTTTCTTCTCTCACACCCCTGTTAACACCACTTTTTCCTTTGTGAGTTCCTCTCTTTCTCTCTTATGAATTCAGATATATTTTTCCTTTGTGTTTCAGTTCTCTTCGACTTTGAGGTTGATTAATCGATCCTAATACTGTGATTCTATCAACTTTGTTGTTTCCAAGGGAAAACCTAGAAAGCCTCAAATTTGTTGTCGCTTCTCTTTCTGAGATCAAGTTTCTTTTCTTTCGGTTTTGACACAAGTATTTTGTCGTATTGGATTGATTTCTAAAGTAAGAAAAAATTAATACCAAACAAATATACGGTTTCTGATTTGTGTCTTCAGTGAAAATGAGAAGAATGGATTCGTCAACCTCGTCTTCCGTTATCTTAGGTACTAATATTCAAATCAATTCTCTTTTATTTGTTTTATTTCTTTTTCATGTGACCTTCAGATCCTGAAATTTAAAGATGAATGTCATTTGATTGAAGTAGAGAAGCGAAGCAAATAGAATGGTGTAATAATTTTACTGGAATGGAATCAATGTGTTTGAAAAAGAGCTGAATGGAGGTGTGAGAGAGAAGAAGAAGAAGAAGAAGAGAAGATAGGGGTTAACGGGGGGAAGAAGAAGAAGAAAAGGGGGTTAACGGGGTTAGGTGTCATGTAAGCAAAAACTAAGGTAACGGCAGAGACCTTAGTGAAAACGAAGTAAAAGTTCAATGATTGTATTGCAAGTTTCAAAAGTTAGGTGGCCAAAATGCAAGAATCCTAAAAGTTCAGGGACTATTTATATACTTTACCCTAATAATAATTGAAAACTATACTTTCATCTTTTAAATAGCGTAGAAAATATTGAATTACATTCGTCTCATGGTTGGTTTATACACAATCTTTTCTCAGTGACATTTTCTGCTGAATTCTTTCAAAGTTTACAAAATTTAGAGCCCCTTTTTAATGTAGATCTCATTCTTGCTGGCTGCTTAACAACATTTACCTGCATTTGTGGTTTATTCTTCCATAAGTGAGTAATGTTGTTAATTTCACCATAAATTTCATTTCGTTGATAGGAAAGTAAGGCCATTACACTGATTAGGTCATTGGCTCCGTTGGCATTGGATAGGAGCGAGATTACTCTCATTTGATAGTGATTTCTTTTGATTTTTTTATACAAAATTGATAGTGATTTCTTAAATTCATGTCAGCTTTTTCTTTTATCAAAAACTCATGTAAGTGGTTCATACTTTATAGATCATACTTATTAATTACTCCTAAAATTTATATGAATTACTATATGTCTGTTGCTTTACAATGCCATAAAGTTATTTAATGAGTAAAGTAAAAAATTTCATCACTCATGTTTTGATCACTAAATTTTAATAAATTTTAATCTTATCATTTAACTTTCGAGTTGCTCTTGTTTGAGTTATTATGTTGTTAAATAATTAATAACTTTATGAGATGATAGATAGTACCTAAAGGATGTCGTTTTGGAAAACCTAATTTAGACCAAAATAATGTTGTTATGAATCCTTATATAATCTTTTTTTCCCTTTTTTTCCTTCATTCTTCATGTCATCTTATGATATGATAGACGTGATTCCAAGAATTTTTCACTAAATTTGTTTTATCCTTTTGAATATGACGTTTATTTAATCAAAAAGCATATCAAATTCCATGAATCTAAAGTTTAACGTTTTGGTTTCTTGTTCTTCGATATTTTTAGTTTGTTTTTGGATTGAACCTAAACGAATATACGTTATCCTTTATAACTCAATATATTAAAATATATAATATTAGAATTAAAATATTATATTATATTATATTTTTATTTTAAATATTTTAATAAGTAATATTTTATTAAAATAATACTAGACTATTGTATTAATATTAAATGTATAAAATAATATTACTCATTATTAATAATTCAATAATACTATTTTTATGAAAATAGTAAACAATATTAATTATATTCATAATTTATTATATATTATTAAAATAAAAATATAATATCATACATTATTATTATATAAATTAGTATATTATTATAATATCAAAAGATATAGTATTATTAAAATTTATATTTTTAGTATTTTAATAATTAATATTTTATTAAAATAATGTTAAAATGATGTATTAGCATTAAATATATAAATAATATCATTTGTGTGTTTATATTTTGAAGTGAAAAATTATATAAATATTTTACAAAAAATCATATAGTAAAATATTTTACATAAAATAAAAAGGAAATTATGTTGAACCAACAATGAATTATACTGAGAAAAACGTTTTACATCAACCATACACTAACATATATGAAAAAGAAAAAGAAAAAAATATTTTTCGTACAATAAATTATCACTATCGAACATACCCTTAATTTAAAGTTCCACATTAACAGCGCTAACAATTTTGATACAAGGTTCAATGGGAAAATTCACAAGGTATGATGGTAGATAAAGTGGGGAAATATATAATGTATGTTTTTCATTTTTCAAGGTCTAAACATTTATTACCCTTCTCACTGTTTTCATGAAAATCGCTTTAACCTCACCGGTTCTTTCCTCGTGCAAAGTATTCTATATAGATGAGCTCACAGCTGTGCATAGATATGTGTATGTGTTTTGGTTGATTGAATTTACGGTTAGGGAATGAATTTATAAATTTTAGAGGAAACGAATTTATAAAATTTTAGAGAGTAAAAACATATTACCAAAGAAAATATACAAAAAATATAAAATTTAAAAAAAATTAAAAAAAATTAGGAGGTGATTGTCTCCACCCGACCTCATCTATCCATGCATGTCAAGACAGTATGGTATGATCTTATGTGTTGTAGTATATGAAGATAATAAACCTATAACAAAAACAATAAAGAAATATATAATTCATAAAATTCATTATCAAAATAGAAATTTATTTACAATGAGTCACATATTGTCTCCAACCTATGATGTCAAGCCTATTCCTCATACCTTTTAAGACTTTTTAATTTCTTATCCAAGCTTATTCCTGTGTATGTATATATCAGTGCCTACAAAATGAATTATCAACCACAAGAATAAAAGATATACATCTTCTTAGCAATCTCTTTCTTAATATAAATATATGTGGGTGCCTAATTATCTCCCGTGCTGGTGCCAACTGAGAGCCTGGAGAGAAGGAATATAGAAGCTGAGGAAAGAAATACAGAAGCAGCGAAGCAGGTAAGATCCAAGCTACTAACAATGGGTATTCCCTTGAATTTCTCCATAACTCCTACTTGAAGTATCATCATTGTAATCATCATTTTTCAGCATCAGAAGTCAAAGGCAGTTCACTCACCACACCTACTCCCATCACCCCTTGATTCATGCAGAAACATACGCCTCGTCCATGCTCCATTACGTTTGTCTTTATTTCCTTTGTAATGGGTATTTAACCCACCCAAAAACAGTGTAAAAGAGAGGAGGAAAAGGGGGGAATTTGAGATCCTTAAAAAAAGCTGTAATACTCCATTTTCGAAAGTAATAACAGAGCAATATTTGAAGGTTTTTTTTCTCTTTAATTTCGAAGGTTTTTTCGTATTTTTCTCTTTAATTTCTTATCCAAGCTTATTCCTGTGTATGTATATATCAGTGCCTACAAAATGAATTATCAACCACAAGAATAAAAGATATACATCTTCTTAGCAATCTCTTTCTTAATATAAATATATGTGGGTGCCTAATTATCTCCCGTGCTGGTGCCAACTGAGAGCCTGGAGAGAAGGAATATAGAAGCTGAGGAAAGAAATACAGAAGCAGCGAAGCAGGTAAGATCCAAGCTACTAACAATGGGTATTCCCTTGAATTTCTCCATAACTCCTACTTGAAGTATCATCATTGTAATCATCATTTTTCAGCATCAGAAGTCAAAGGCAGTTCACTCACCACACCTACTCCCATCACCCCTTGATTCATGCAGAAACATACGCCTCGTCCATGCTCCATTACGTTTGTCTTTATTTCCTTTGTAATGGGTATTTAACCCACCCAAAAACAGTGTAAAAGAGAGGAGGAAAAGGGGGGAATTTGAGATCCTTAAAAAAAGCTGTAATACTCCATTTTCGAAAGTAATAACAGAGCAATATTTGAAGGTTTTTTTTCTCTTTAATTTCGAAGGTTTTTTCGTATTTTTCTCTGCTTAGATTCGAAGCAAGTATTGTAAAAAAAATCTTTTTTAGTTCGATTGTAACCTTTATTGCTACTATTTTTTTAAAAATATATATATTTACAAAGATTTTCTAAAAAATATTTACATGTCTTAAATAAAAAACTAAAACAAGAGCTTTTTCTTTCCTTTCGAATTTTTTTTAATACCAACGATCCCAGCTATTTGCAGCAAAAAATATAAAAAAATAAAATAGAACAAAATCGGTTTCATACCTGAAAAAAAATGTGTTTTGGGAAGAGGTTTAGCCTTGTTGGCCATGTCTAGTGGTGGCCGGCGATGGAGGCTTTTGAGCTCTTGGGGTCTCTCGGCCATGGTGAACTTTGAGGGAAGAGAGAAGCTAAAAAATAATTGTTTGGTCTTGCTTTCTCGGGCAGAAATGAAATCTGAAAAGGGGAGAATATTAAACTTTAAAGATTTTTCGTCTAATTAGGCATTAGGTCCTCGGGTTCTAAGGTGTTTTTGTTTGGTTCATATATTAATGGATAAATCACGTATAAATCTCCAGCTTCAGCGTGTTTATACTATGGTCACTTTGTTTTTATTTTATTCCGATTATGTATGTTGATGTTGTTTTATTTTAATTTAGTCATTGTAATTTCTGATTTAGCTATTATTATTTAATTTTTGCATTTTGGTCACTTTTTATTTCTTATTTAGTTACTAACTTTTATTTTATTGTATTTTAGTCATTATTATTTTATATTTATGCAATTAGGCATTTATTTTATGTTTATTTTATTTTATATTTTAATGTTTTTATTATTTTGTTTTAATTATTTCAATTAAGTTTATTTTTAATTGTTTTGTTTCATAGTTTTAATTCTACATTTAGTTCTTTAAATTAGATTAATATTTGAATAAAATTAGAAATTAGGATGACACTGTAGTTTAATTATGGGGTAATTCGAGTCGAGTTTTCGCATTATACGCCCGAATACTAGAATCAATTGTTCGATTAAAATTAATTAATGATTAATATTTTCTAAAAAAAATAGTTTAATAATTAGGTTAGTCCCTTAACTTTAAAAACGTTCAATTTAGGTCCTTAGATTCTTAAGTCTTTTTAGAGCTCAGTATTTTAGTTCATTGACACTTTTAGTTCCCGAACTTCAATTAGACTTTAAATATTGACATAATAGGTTAAATAGAGATTCCATTTTAGTTTAGATTTCAAATTAGTCTTTTAATTTAGGGAATAATTCGAGTTGGCCCTCACGTAACGCTCGAGGGACCATCTGGGTTATTCGATTCAGTAATTAATTAAAATTAAATAGGATTAATATTAGAGACTACGCTTTTAAGCTTGACCCCCTAGATTCTTTAATTTTCATAATTTGACACCGTAAGTTAGAAAAAACCTTAATTTATTTTTTAGTATAATTAGGATTAAATAAAATTTTGCTTGATTACATTGTTTTTAAAATTTAAGGCATTGTTCACTTATTAAGGAGTTAATAGTATATCCTCCGCGATCGTGCTCAGGGGGTGACTACTGGTAATTCCCTAAAATAGTTGACATCCTTTTCTAAAATTGCATCATATTTTCTAAAAACGAGGCAATGTTCAGTTATTAGGCACGATAGTTGATCTCCCGCATTTACGCTCGGGGGCGAATGCTATCAGTCTCAATAAACGAATATCCTTTTCAAACTTTTCATCCTTAATGATTTTTAAATTAAATAAAGATCGAACTCAAAATTTTCGATTTTAAATATAGGATAATCAACTAGGTACCAATTTTTGGGCGCTTGTGGGGATGCTAATCCTTCCCCACGCGTAACTGACTTCCGAACCTGATTTCTAGATTTTCGCAGACTCCAAAACTCGGTATTTTATTAAAATAAAATTATTTATTAAAATCACCTAGTTTTTTTTCGGTGTTCCAATCTCACCTTAAATGATTGGTGGCGACTCCTCACATTTTTAAATGATTTTCGAAGAGAAAACCCCCGAGTCAGTATCGATCTTTCCCCACCCGGGCGGAAAACGGTGTTGACAATCATGACAGCATGCCCCATTTTTGACTTTGCTTCTGAAATTGATTTCATTTCAACCCAAGCCGAGTGTCTGACAAATAATCATAGATGAAATATTGTAAAAACGAAAGATTAAAAGATCGTTTTTGTTCAAAATTTTCCTTAGTATATGATAACATCTACATCCTATAGATATTGCTGCTCAAAAATTTGAATCCTATATGGAGAGAACAACATTCCCTAACGTAAATGGAGAACCATGATTTGAGCAAACAAATTTAAAAGAAAGGTGAATACCTTCAAATGGAAGAGGCCAAATAAGTTGGATCTTGGAAGCGAAGGAGCACCTCCTTTCATGGTTTTGGAACCCACAAACATGATGTAAAGTCCCATCCCGAAAATAAGCATGGAGGTTCCGACCAAGAACATATCTGCAAAAATTCAGTCCAACGATAAGCTTTTTCGTCAATATATGTGCGTTAGTGGCAAAAGGATTCATACCAATGGCTTCTATGAGAAGGTGGATGATATGTTCTTGATCTAACTTTTTTGATAATAAGCTATGGAAATACTGTAAATATGACTCCACAATGAGAAAGCTTCCCTGCAAGATTGATGCCATTTTTCACAGTTAAATATGATACTACAAAATAGAACAATAACGAAGAGGTTTAATTATGATCTTAGTCCCTTTACTGAAATATACCTCCATGAAACAGAGTATCGATCCAAGTAAAGATCCAGCAACAGCAAACATGGCGAAGAATCGACAATTAAGTATAACATTTTCAATGAACATCTGAATGTGGAATTTCCAATGTGTTGGTTTCAAGACCAGCCTTACGAGCATCTCACGCATGGGCATGGCATTGATGGCATTTGCGAGCAAAGATGCCAATCCTCTTCCCCAATCAACTGATCTCACGGCAGCTTCCAGTGTCGTCGGCAAAGCCCTGACGGCCACCTTCGGTTTCTTCTCACTGTTCCCACAAACATTATTCTCCACTTTAACACCTCCGTTGCTTGTGTACCTCACAGTTTTCACCGACGAAGGCCAAGAAGATGCGGGAGCAAAAACTCGACCCAAAGGATTGTTTGACGAACGCACCAATCTAGTGGTAGCCATTGTTTTGTTCCTCAGGGTTCGGAGAATTTCAAGTCTTTTGAAGACTATTATTCTCGTATTGGTGGGGTGTTTATACCATGCAATGGAGGGAGGAGATTCGTAGAATATTAGCTGAAATTGTCGGTATTTGGGGTGGGCTGTTCTTTCACTTTTTCTTGGAGAGGTAGGTTTTGAATAGATCGTATAAAAGTTTGACGATAATATCATACTCATGTTGCGATTTTGAATTTCTCTACGCGTGGGATCAGTTTAGCTGTGACCAGAACACTTGCACTAAGCCCCGTAGTGTATCTATATTATTTTAAAAAATTGGTTAAATTTAATTTAATATGTTAAGTTAAATCGAAAAAATTATAATTTTTACATACTCATTATTTTTATAAAAAAATTAAAACTTTAGACTCCATTCTTAAATTTTTAGATCCACCACTACTTATAAACCCTAAAGTTTGGGTTTTTTTTATGTGATTGTGAAACAGTGGCTAGTTGCCATTGCGGAGGATATTCGAGCTTCCGATAAGGAGAACAGTCGGCGAAAACACGTGCTGATTACTTTTTATATCTTTCGTGTTAGTTTCATAGAGAAAAAAATTGATTTTTCAGTCAACGGAAAAATAATCCACATGTCAATGGAAAAATAAGTTCACTTTTCTGTAAATTATTTTATTGTTATAAATAACATTTATTAAAGTAGATATTCATTCCATTAAGGTTTCAGTTTTTCTATTCAATATATAAATAACGATTAAAGGTTTAACTTAGTTTTAATAACCTATGATTTTAGAGCCTATAAAAGGATGTATGTACAAGCTTATAAGATATGAGAAATAAAAGAATATAATTCACTCTCACATTATACTTGTGTACAGTTTCATTATTGAAGAGGAGATTCTGTTTCAGGTTGTCGAGCTGTTCTTGCTGCAGTTTTGTGTTCTTGGATTGCAACTGTTTTCTGTTGCAGGCGGTTAGGCCGGTTTAGTCTAACCTAGGTCAAACTCTTAAGTGTTGGTCCATCAGACCAAACATGGGCTGTTAAAATGAGCTTCAAGGAAAGGGCCAGAATATTCTTTTGGCCTACATTTCTACTCTTATTATTTTGTTTGTACGATTGCTTGCAGGTGCCGCTTCCTATGCTGCTCACGACCAGCTGTCAATTAGTTGGCTGGTGGATATTCCTGCATCACAGTGCACGGCAGTTTCTAGATACGCTGCTTTCATTGCGATGAGCTGTTTTCATCCGTTGATATTTTGCGCATTTCTTGGTGATTACTTACTAGCGGAAGGCTCCGATTTTTTCGTGTATTTTTATTAACAGATTCAATTTTGGATTTGTTATTATTATTGTGTACGTCGATGATTTAAATATTATTGGGACTTATAAAGAGATCCATGTCGCGATGGAATACTTAAATAAAGAATTTGAAAAGACAAGATTTTGTCTTGAATTGCATGTTGAGCACTTAAATAATGGAATTCTTTACATCAATCAACTTACATAGAAAAAGTATTAAAGAAATTCTATATGCATAGTGTACATCCATTGAGCACCCCCATGGTTGTTAGGTCGTTGAATGTAAATAAAGATATTTTTTGTTTTCTAGATAAATATGAAAATCTTCTTGGTCTGAAAGTACCATAATTAAGTGTCATTGGTGTATTGATGTATCATTCTAGCCATACACTACCTGATATATCGTTTGTTGTCAATTCATTAGCAAGATTTAGCTCATGTCCAACTCGAATACATTGAAATTGGATCAAGCATATATTTCGTTATCTTCAATGTACGAAAGACATGGAATTGTTTTCCCTATTTTATCTTAAACAAAATTGGTTGGTTTTGCAGATGTATGGTACTTATCTGATCATCATAATGTGCGATCACAAACTGGTTATGTATTTACATATGTTGGTACTGTAGTTTTTTGGAGCTCTATGAAACAAACAATTATTGTCACTTCCTCTAATTATATTGAGATTTTGGCTATCCATGAGGCTAGTCATGAATGTGTGTGGCTAAGATCTGTAATTCATCATATTCGAGAAGATTATGGTTTGTGCTTCGAAAGAATAACTCTGACAGTCTTATATGAAGATAACACATCTTGCATTACTCAATTTAAGGAATGATATATAAAGGGTGATAGAACAAAACACATCTCACCAAATTTCTTTTTCACTCATAATCTACAAAAGAATGGAGATATTAATGTACAACAAATTCGTTCAAGTGAAAATTTGACAGATCTATTTACTAAGGCACTTCCTACTGCTACATTTGAGAAGTTAGTTTTCAAAATTGGACTCCATCGTTTTAAATATCTTTAAATATCTTTAATAATGTGTTCATCAGGGGTAGTAAATATGTGTTGCACTCTTTTTCCCTTATCCATGGTTTTGTCCCACTGGCTTTTCCTGGAAAAGTTTTTTTACGAGGCAGCATGTCATACGTATTAAACGATGGTGTACTCTTTTTCCTTCGCCAGGTTTTGTCCTTAGGATTTTCCTAGTAAGGTTTTAACGAGATATATATTTATCCGATGAACCTCCAAAGGGAATGTTATAAATAACCTTTATTAAAGTGAATGTTCATTCCACTAAAGTTTCAGTTTTCTTATTTAATGTATAAATAACGATTAAAGGTTTAATTTGGTTTTAGTAACCTATGATTTTAGAGCCTATAAAAGAATGCATATACAAGCTTATAAGATATGAGGGGGAAAAAAAGAATATAATCCACTCTCACATTATGTTCTATACTTGTGTACAGTTTCATAACATTTATGAAATTTTAAAGTATAAAATAATTTCTAGAGAATAATTTTTATAAATAACTATAATTTTAGATTGAATTTAATTATAACTGGCTTAGATATATTATACTTATATAATTTTAATTTTAAAAAATTATGTGATATTAGTTTAATATTATAATTTTATTATCATTAAATATGCTCAATTATATTGTAACAATTTATAGTATTGTATTATTTTTTAAATACTTTTTAATAATGAATACTATTTATTATTTTCTATAAAAATGTTATTTGATAATATAAATTATTTATTACTTTAAATAACTATTAGTATTCAACAATACATACAAGTTTTAATATTTTGATTTCAAAAAAAATTTATAAAAAATAATATTATTGAATTTTTAATAATAAATAACGTTATTTATGTATTTAATATTAATATAATGTTTTATTATTACTTTATAGAATATTAATTATTAAACATTTAAAATATATTTATTAATGAATTTTATTAATATAAGATAATAATATTATTTTAATAAAAATAATAATATTATTTTAATAAAATATACTAATCTTCATATTTTATTTATAAAATGTAAAAAATGACATAATTATAATTTGAAAGATTTATTGGAGTGCTTGAATTTAAAGAAACTTGTGTTTCCTTACATTAGAAAATAAAAAAATATATGCAATTGTCATCAAGAACATATAATATCATCAATACCTCCTTTAGTCTAAAGAGGACTAATGATACACAACCCAATCAAATCGAGTAATGCGTAAATAATACTTGAAATTGAAATTTATTTCAGATTCATGCAACCATTATTAGAAAGAGGAAACTCATAATACTAGGATTATTTTGCACCACAAAAGATGAAAAATATTCGATCAATATTCTTCCATTTTCCAATTGAATCCCCATTTTCAACAGTGACCCAAAAATTTCCCCGGTTATGTGCTTCGGATGAACATGCATTGGCCCATGGAGTTTCATGGATATCCATAACTTAGAAGATTCAAACCTCACAAAGAACTATGGATAATGTAAAACCACACTTACAAACATCAATAATTCTCTGAAACTGGTCTAGAAGGAAAAAGCCTTAGGAGAAACGTCATTAATGACCAAAGGCAAACCACTGCAAGGGCCTGGAAAGTTCCAATCATTCCGATAAGTGCACCACCTCTCTCGAACATCTCCGGGGTTCTCGGAGAATCTTTCATCAACAACAAAAAGTGCTGAATGAATTGAGTAGCTCTTGTCAACTGATATAATCTATACACCTGTAATATCAATTATAAAGTCATCGATCATCTTACTTATCTTTAAAATGAATCTAAATCCTGTAAAACGACAATACCTCGAAAATAATAGGAACCAAGGGCCAACATGATGACTGCCTTTTTTCAAGAGTCATCTCAAATGCAAACTGAACAGCACAGCCTGCCAGGAAAGGAGCCACTGCAACCAACGTTGGGAAGCCAAGCACTGGCCAAGTTACATAAACGGCAATGAGAGGAGCAATAACCTTGAAACCCGTCGACAATAATGATGATGTTAGGTATCCCCTGAGTCCAGTAATGAGACCCCACCTCTTGGCACTGAATTGCAAATACGGCCTTTGAACATGATCTGTCACAAACAGGAACATCCCGAGACCAATGTAGAACATCACTTCAAAGGAAAAAGATGATACAAGTTCTGCAAGTCACGTTGATGCAAAACAATTACATCAGTTCTTCACTCAAGCAACAAGCACTGAAGTACCACAGATAAAATTCGACTTCATGAATATGAAAGAAAAGACAAATGGTCATCAACAAAGTTAATAATATAAACAAGGACAAATCTTCGAAGGACATACATGACTTCAGCAAGACAATTACATCAATTCTTTATCTAAACAATACACTCTGAATTACCCGTACCACAAATAAAATTTGACTTCATGAATATGAAAGAAAACACATGTGATTAAAATTGGTTAATTGAGCCTTGAGACAAACTCTAATTACCAGTACCAGGTTTTTTCATCCCAATGCATGAAAGTAAGAGAAAGATTTAAGCTCAACTAGAGTACCTATGAGTGTCTCATCCTTGAAGAAAGCTTCAATTGCATTGCTAAATAAAAACTGTGGAACAATCAATGAAGAAATCAATGCAATGGGTGCCAATACCCAAAGAAAGGATCCTTTTTCTTCTTCGAAAGGAGCTGATATCAATTTGCTCTCTTCCACGAGCTGGTGAGTTAGCCCATGAAAGGAAACTGAACCTGATTTGCCACGAAACGGTTCCACCCCACCATATCTACTAATAGCCCCACCAGATTTCCCCTTCCCAATAGGTTTCAAATTTGAGTTCGGATCAGAACCAGAGGCACAAACTATCCTCCCTTTGCTCAATCTCCACAATCTAAATTCCTTGTCTAACATTTTCCCTTCAGGCATGAAACACCCTGAATTAAAAAAAAAAACCTTTAGTTCAAACAGAGAAGCAGGGCAGAACAAATTATAACACTAGAAAATCCCCAAAAAAGAAAAAGAAAAAAATGTACACTTTGAAACATCTCGAAGCCCATGATTTCCGATGCTTAGTCCGAAGTGGGTAGCAGGAGCCTTTAAATTCTGGTAAATTAGAGACGAGGGGTGAATTTCTGCCTCTGAAGAAACTAAGAAAAGAAAACAAGCGCGGAATTTGGGAGAGAATTACTTACAGATTGAAAACGAAATTGTCGATGGTTGGGGAATTTGAAGTTTGGGGCATTAAAACCAAGGCAGACGGATTGAAGTTCCATGTCTTAGGGTTTTAGAAGAGTTTGCGGATGAAGTTGCTGGATTTTACCGCTTAAACCCCAGTTTCTCCCAAAGTACCAGATGCCTTTGCCGGTTCAAACCAATAAGAATGCAACATGTTTGGAAGTTGGGTTTCATTAAGGAAACTTCGGCCCATAATTAATAACTTCCTGGATCTTGTTGGTTCCAAACTTTGTTCAACTATATTAATAATTAAGAAAAAAAACGATTAATCCAGTTACTACTAATTCGATTCGATCAGTGACCAATATAATCGTTTGAATGCCCCTACTTAGCTCGATATAAAGGATTAATTATAAAGGAAATAGTTTTAAATTATATGTTAATATAAAAGAGAATTAAAACATGATAGTATATAAATTATATTATATTTAAATTATAAGATAAACCGATATATAATAATAAGAGAATTAGAACATGATAATATAAAAATCATAACATGATTCATCTGATCTATTTATACAACACAAACAAAAATAATTTGAATGATGAAGATTTATGAAATTGAAAGGAATAGATTAGTGCATGAGTGATTGCATCAACTAATTTAAATATATCATCAAAAAAAAATCTCAGTATGGGTCTTGAATAATTAGTTGAATAACTTACTCTTTAATTGCATTATTTAAAAATAAAATAAACATTCAATAATTCAATCTTCAATTACATCATTAAAAACTAAAATAATAAACGGTTGGTTGGATTATGAATTGGTCGGCATATGGTAACTTACACTTTAATTGCATTATTTAAAAATAAAATAACCATTCAATAATTCAATCTTCAATTACATCATTAAAAATTAAAATAATAAACAGTTGGTTGGATTATGAATTGGTCGACATATGGACGTGAATAATTCCTAAATTCACCCATCACTGTCTTCAATAGACACACCCTTAAATAGTCTCCGATTACCAGAGTTAATCATCTAACTATTAAAAATTATAATTGATCAATCGATTATAAGATATTGTGTTATTAAGTCATTCGATTATTAAAAGTAATAAAATAGTCATTCGGTTATTTATATGTTTTAAATTTGTATTTTTCAGTTAAAAATTAACGATTTTCTGAGCTGAACGTTAACCTGCTGATTTGGATATGATAAAATCATATTTTAATTATGTCTATTGGCATTGCCGTTGCTTTCAAGCACTAGCTAGACGAGTTAATGTTTCAAGCATTGGCTTGAAGAGATAATATAAACGGAGAGTCGATCTATAAATACAGCTTAAACTGTTATGAGATCATATTTTATATCTCAATCAATATGTTAACATCCAGCTCAGAAGGCCGTCAATTTTTTAACGAAAAAGATGAGTTTGAAGCATATGAATAGTCAAGTAACCATTTTGTAACTTTTAATAGTCGAATGACTTAACAAAGCAGTGTCCTATAATTGGAGACCCTTTGCGTACTTTACCTTGAGAATTGATAAATTCAAAAATCAAGTAGAATACGTTAAAAACATATATAATTGGTTATGATTTAAATTTTATCGAAGGAGCAAGCACATTTATTCGGTTGGCCAGGCTGTTCATTTTTGTTCTCTCATATTTCTTTAGATCATGGTTCTAGACCCATTTGAAACACTACTCTTTCTTCTTCTAAAATCCCCTTATTCTTCATTTTAAATAAGATTATGATCAGATTTAAAATTTATCAAAAAAAAATTATCGCAGAGTTAACAGACGAAGTTACAGTTATAACTAAAGTTCTAATTGACAATCTTTACTAGAATAATAAGCATATAAAAATGCAAAATAATATGTGAATAAATAAACAACAAGATTATTAATTCAACTTGATGAATTTATCTTGCACGACTTTATGCTAGTAAAGATTTGATAACCAACTTTAATTATGGAACTAACCATAAATATTTTTACTCTCAAGACCATTTACACGCACTCACTTTTATAAATAACTCTTTCACCTCAACAAAAATAATCTCATATAATAATCCTCAAATATAATTAGACATATATATTGATATGAAACTTTTACCACAAAATAAATTTATTAAAAAATTCAACAAAATAACGTTTTTATAGTTAAAAATTAGTTTGTAATTTTTAATAGTTCAAAGATTTAATAAAATAACACGAGTTTTTTGTATTTATTTTTTTTATTTATAAAAGTTTTTACTTTAAAAGTGACTTATTTATTTCATTATTTTATAGTAATTTATTTTATATTACATATGGTCTAATTTTAGGATTTACATAGACAAATATTATTCTCTCTCAAAGCTTCCTCGTTTCAACGACGTTATTATTGTAACTGCAGCCCCCAAGGACGCCTCCCCGAGTTCTATCTCAAACGTGTCGTAACGTCTGAAAAGTTCCACCACAAAGAGCCTGGACACCAGCACCACTAAATCCTTGCCGGCACACTGTTTATTCGCCGCCGTTGTATGCTCGGTCTCGGGTCCATTCGACCAAAGCAGGTACTTTAACAGCTTCTCCCCGTCCTCTCCCTTGAACCTGTCGGGGACAAACTCCTCAGCTCTCTCAAATATTTTCGGGTCTTTCGTCGCAAATGGTTGGTACCCAAACAACATCTCTCCTTCTTTCACTTCATAAACGGCGGCGTGGCTCTCGATCAGAAGATCTTTCTTCGCTTTCCCGTACATATACGGAACCGGAGGTTCGATACGTAGAGCTTCGTACACCACAGATTTCACTAACGGCATCTGTTCCATGATAGCCATGCTTAGTTTCCCACCGTTAAGTTTAATGACTGATCTGATCTCCTGTGCTAGTTCAGTGTGTAGTTTCCCTCCACCTCTGCCAATCCATTTAACCATGATGGGGAAGAAGACTTTAATGCCGGCAAAGGAATTAAAGCATGCGGTGAATAACAGATTATGGCAAGCTTCTTCTCGTGAAATACCCATTTTCTCTGCTTCATCTTGAACGAAACCAGACGACTCGTAGAAGAAATCATACAGTCTTTTGTAATCTTTTTTAACGAGAAACGCCGGAAGGGGAAAAGTATGGAGTAAAATATCATCAATGTATTTTGGGAGACCAAGTGAGAGAATTGGATGGAGTTGAAACAGTAACCATTTATTAACCAAACTCGGACCGTCAACTCCTAGTTTAGTATCAGCCGGATTCGAACCAAAGAAAGCCAGACTCAAGAATTTAAACGCAGCTTGCTCATTAGGTGGCTCAAAGCTGCTTTTGCCTTTCTCACCGACTTCTTTCTCCACCGTTTCGAATAACTCAGCATAACAAGATTCAAACTGGGGCAACACTTTATCTCTGCTAGATTTTAATAGAAAAAAGATAAGTTGTTTGAGGCTGGCATGTTTGGGCTCGGAAGGGTCGAGGTATGCGAGCATCCGATACCCGCCGGTGAGGTCCCTTGAAGGCATGTAAGTGCCGGTTAAAACGTCTCTTTTTTCAACTTTGGAGACATCTAAAAGAACGGGGAAGCTCTTCCCGTCGAGGAGAGCGATAACCTTAGGGTTGGAAGCGATGAAAGGACCGGGTGGCATATTGGTTCGAATCACGGTTGACTGGTATTTCTGGATTTTGGATTTGAAAAACTCGTCTCGACCTTCGTTGTAGAAGAAATCAAGTCGGTCTTTGATTGCACCAATGAAAGGAAGCCCATAATCCCCTGGAATTTGATTCAAAGGAAGCCTGGTTTCTCCGGGCTCGCAAACCGTCACCGACTGCGGCGCAACCACAGCTCGGATCTCCGTCGGCAAGTCTGAAATCGGAAAAGCCATTAGGAGGGTGTAAGAATTACTGAAAATGTAAATGGTTTTGGAAAGCTGAAGTGGATTGCATGGTAAAAGCCAAGTGGAGCGTTTATTTATCCTAGTGGTCAGCCCTACAACAATATTTCCTCTGTTCACACGCGAACTGTAATTTTACCTTGTTTATTCATTCATGTCTTATTCATCTCTAGGTGAAAAGTAGTGTTTTACACTGTACGCACGTTTTAATAGTTTCCATCGGATGGATTGGTTGGGGCAGTTTTTTATCTGACAATTTTTAATTGTTATATATTTTTTATTAATAAGTATATTTTCATTTTTATCTCCCGATTCTAAGATTTCGTCTTAATTAATCTAAACTGACCAACGTGGTACATCTAGTTTTAGTGAATGAGTATTTCAGCATGGATTTTATGCATACACAATGACTACAACTCGAGACCTTACTTGAAGGATATCAAGTTGCTTCTCACTTGAACAACCCCTATTGATAATATATTTTCATCTTTTTAAAACTTTATAAATTTATTTATTCTTAAAGTTTCATAAATTTATTATTTAACATAAAATCTTACGTTGATATATATACACGATAGTTTATCAAATGTTTAAGCTAAAATTTGTTTGATATATATGATCAACTTGAATTAGTTTATCACTATCTATTTGTTATTTAGAACTTACATTTAGAGACAGATTGATATGTAATTTATTAGGGTTAATTGACTTTATTTGAGTCTAAAAAATCTTTATAAAAAGTAAAGAAAAATTGGGAGAAAAAAATTTAAACGTTCAAAATTTGGTATCCATATTTTCAAATATCTGAAATATCGGATACCCAAGTTTCCAGGTACCAAAATATCGGTTCGTTTCTAAACCTGTTAAATTCGGGTATCCGTAAATTTCAGGAATCCGTATTTTCAGGTCACGTTTACTTGGTTTATATTTTTTATTTTTCTTTAAATTATATTCTTTTTGTTAAAATTACATAAAAACCCTAAATTTAAAATTTAAAGATCAATAAAATTTTAAAATTAAAATTACATAATTAAAAATATTAAAAATTAAATTAAAGAAATATAAAAGATTAAAAAATGTACAATTATATATTTTGTTTAAAGATAATTATTCTTTGAGCTCCACGATGCTTGATTTTTTAATATAAAAATTAAGATGTAGTCATCTATGATATAAAAATCTCATTCTTTTAATATCATATTCATAAGTGCAGTATAAAATATTATAACAATATGATATGAGGTACATTGTTGCTCATTAAATTAAATTATTTGAAATTTTCTAATACTGTTTCCTCGTTTTACATTACGTTTAGAGGTGGCAATCGGATCCGAGGAAAATTTTTACCGCAGTCTTAATATACGACTAAAGAAATATATTATCGTTTTCTTATTATTTTTTTAACAAAATCAGTAAAAAAATATACATGAAACATTATTATTTCTATCGATTTTATTATTATTAGGCGATTTACTGATTTTGTTAATATATCCGGTAGAATTCTACAGGTTTTATTATTTTTCTATTGATTTTGTTATTATTAAACATTTTATCAAAAATATTAAAAATATTAATGTTTTAAATATAAATAATAATATTTTAAGTGATCTTTTATCAATTTTATTAAAAGATAATAACAAAACTGATAATATATTTAAGACCGTTATAAAACTTTCCGAATACGATGAAATATTAGTAAAAGTTGAAAGAGACTCTGGTAAAGTAATGATTATATTTCTTGTGTTTTCTTGAGTACACGTACATTGCTGTTATTGGTACTTTACACAGCTAGCCTAACTGCATAGGCGACTACATCTAACCCTAACTGCTTAGTAACAGCACATAAATTACGTGCCACTATCTCCAATATTCCCTCGGCTTCTTCCTCCTGCATTAGCAAGGTAAGACAAAGGTCTTATCCCTGAAACACTTCAAACGCAGCTTTAGGCAAGGGTTTAGTAAGGCCATCGGCGACTGGCTGGAACATAGTTGACACGAAGCTGTTTAGCAGCGACTTTTTCTCGAATAAAATGAATATTCATTTCCACATGTTTAGACTGGACATGGTAGACTGGGTTCACACTCATGGCAATAGCGTTGGTGTTATCGCACCAAATAACTGGCTCTTCATAATGCTTCACACCCAAATCAGCAAGCAACACACTAATCCATGTCATTTCTGGTGTTGTGTTTGCTACGCTTTGATATTTAGCCTCCATTATCGACCTAGACACAATTTTGGCTTCCTCGAGTTCTATATCACAGGACTCTTTGCTACAAAGACTGTATGACCTGAAATCGACCTACGATCATCTGCATTAGCTAACTGCATAACTGACTGTACCTAACAACCTCTAACCTCTTAACAACACATAAATCACGTGCCACTATCTCCAATAGGTTATTCGGATTGGGTTCAAGTAGAATCATTTCGGTTTAGATTGCATTCGATTTAAGTTCGGTTTGGATCAGATCGAATTTGGTTCGAGTTTAGTTTGGATCAATGAAAATTCAGTTCAGATTGATTAGTTTTTGGATCAGGTTGATATCAAATCGATTGGCTTCGGATTTGGTCAATATCGGATCGGTTAGTTTTCGGATCAGGTTGATATCGGATCGGTTGGCTTCGGATTGGGTCAATATTGGATTGGTTGACTTCGATTCAGGTAAATCATTAGATTTTTGAATAAATTCAGGTTGGTTTCGATTCGAGTCAACCTTTAGATTTTCAGGTCAACCGTTGTCGCTCTTTATTGTCATAACTTTCGATAATGCTCTTTATTACTTATAATTAAAAAAAATTATGTGAATATATATATATATATATATTGTCAAATCTCAAACTTAGAGGAAGAAGTTTTAGTTTAGATCAATTGAATTAATAAATTTTTCAAATCAATTGAATCAATAATCTTTGTAATCAATAATTTTATGTGAATATATATTGCCAAAATCCAAATTCTGAGTTAGAACTTATTGCATAGATGTAAAGATGATCTTTTAATAGAAGAAAAATTATATTGAACCATTAAACAAATACTATAAGTGGTGGTTAACTAGTAATATAATATAAAATGAGAAAAAACATACATCATTTTATTATTTATCAATGCTAAAAGTAGTTAATAATTGTAGACACACTTTTTTGACCAGAACATACGTATATACATATTATATATATTATACATATTATTAATTTCGTTTTTTTACATTTACAGGCCCCAATAAATGTTTACAAAACATGTGGCCCAGCAACCCGTTTTTCAAACCAGCATTGACCCATCTGCTGAAACTTTTGGCTCGAACCAATGTAAATTAGGGTTTGTGTGAAACCCTAATCTCCCACCTCAACACCGTTTCCTTCCCAAGCATCTCAGCAGCGCCGCATGGAGTCAACCCCACATCCGAGTTTCACGGTTACACGCCACCAGAGTCGGTTTCCTCGACAGACACGAAACCAACGCAAAATAACAGAGCAACAAACCAAGAGTTACATTTGTAATCGAACTCCTAAAAATAGGAGTTATTTCTACTATAAAAACATGTAACTAGAACATGATTAGGGACGGGTTTTTTACACTGAAAATCACGAGAGAGTACTCACACAAAATACACAGAGGGTTTACGAGATTACACACAAACAAAATCTCAAAAAATAGCAAGAAACATTTGTAATTTTTTTTTTCGAAAGGAAGAGCAATATACAGAGGTATTTTACCTCATTTTTATTTTTTCGATTTTATTATTTAACATGCAATCTATTGTTTTCAAAGCAAGAATAGAGTAGAGAGAGTTTGCTTTTACCTACGTTGGTCGGTTTTCCCCTTGTTGGAATCTGTCTTGGTCGCCGGTGAGTCGAAGCAGAAGAGAGAGGATAAAGGGAGAAATAACAGAGATGGAGAGAAAGAGGGCGATTTTGATTGTCTCGGCTCTGGCAAGCCTATGCTGCGTAGCCCCGAATCCGACGAGGAAGAAAATGAAAAGGCAGAAGAAGGAGATGAAGCAGGAGTCAACACGAGAGTATGTTCTTGTTTTCCATTCATTTTTCATTGGTCGAACATCTGCTAAAAACAAAGGTAGAAGGACACGCTATATTGCAAACAAATGTGCCATTGTATCTCAATTGATTGCTTTGCAGGGAGGGACCCATATTCATTTGCTTTGTAACCACGTGTATGTGGTTTTGCTTTTGTTAACCACGTGTATGTGGTTTTCTTTTTTTCATTTTTTTTATTTTATTATTTTAATAGTATTAATATATTTTTCTTTTTCTCATATTTATTTTTATTTTACAAACTGATACTATTTTTTATTTTAGGGATACTTTAATCGATTAAAGGTAAGTAGTTGAATCGAATTCTTAAATTTTAATTTAAATTCTTAATTTTCGTAATTAAAGACAACCGGTAAATTAATTGGTACCGAAAGGGTGGTTCAAGGGTGCTAATCCTTCCTTGACCGTAACTGACTCCCGAACCCGACACACATCTGGTAAAACGCAGATCAGGTAAGATGATGTCCGATCTACCTAAATATTTTTTTAAATAATCGGTGGCGACTCCTAACCCAATTCGTTTAATCCAAGTCGAAGCCTAATTCTGGGGCCCAACCGAAAGACAGTTGCGACAGCTTGGCGACTCTGCTGGGGACATGTAAGTGAGTCAGGCCATAATTAATTTTTGTTGTCTTTTTTAGCAAAAATTACAAGTTTAAAATTTAATTTATTTATTCGATTCCAATTATTTATCTTTGATTATTTTTTTCAAGTAAATAGTTGTACTAACCGTTTTCTAATGATTTCAGCCCTTAAAGATTTTTTGTCTAAGGCTCTATACCCGAGCTCCGAACCCTATTTAAGTGGGGGTGAAAGCGACGCCTTCGTGTGAATTTATTCACCGTGCGGGCCTAGCAAGTAGCCTTCGGGATTCATATATCTTATGTCTTCGTGTGAATTTATTCTCCGTATGGGCATAAGAGAATGTTTCCTCTCGAGTTTAACTTAGTCCACACAATCCTGTGATGGGTTTAGGACTAAG